GCTACTCAGTCTCTGATAATTGTTATAGCAGCCCACATTGATCAAAACAGGTTAAAAGATGAAAAAGAAAGAATAATCAGCAAAACCAGATTCCTTTAGAAGCAGGTTGAAGTGGGTCTTGGTAGTAAGAAGGCAAGATTGGTCTTAAACAAAGAAGATAAACAGAGGTACAGCAAAGGTATAAAGATGAGTCAGGATCAAATACTCAGCATCGAGTGAGATAATGAACTTAAGTTCTACAAGAATTAACCAAGGTTGTTTGAGTTAATCTTTTAAATATTCAAATTTTTAATATTATACAAGTAATTTAACAACATTGAAAGTGTTTTAAAAAGAAAAAGTGACCTACAGTTCTACCATATTAATGTAGATTTCTGTTTTTCTTATTCTCATCAAAGCTTTAACTTAAGGAAATAAATACACATGATCAGATCTATATCTCAGAAAGATAAATCTGACAGTTGCATAGAAGCAAGGCAAGGTTATGGATGAAGCGTAAGCCTTGATCATGCAGAATGGAAAGATGGAGATCAATTCAGAGACACAGAAAGAGGAACCACAGAATTTGGGGCTTAGGGAAGAGAGACAGAAGCATTTGGTTTATAAGAGTAATTAGATGCAATTTACCTTGTAATTGATGCAAGTAATCAATGCTCATCTCATCCCAACCCACCTTTACATCTTTTGGTAAAGACCAGTCTTTCCTCAGGACTGCTAAGGCCCACCCCCAACCGGCTTCTGAAGAAACCTTGTTTCACCAGCTATTCTTTCTTTACCCTCTTATAACCATTTTTCAGATTCTTTCTCTTTGATGGCTATAACTATCTGCTTGTAATAGCCAAGCAGTACTCAGAAAGTTATGCTATGCTTGGTGATTTTATTATTACAAATCAGAAGCCCCCTAACTAAATGGTAACTTCTAGGAGGGAGGAAGTGGGGATATGTTCAGAGAGGGTTTTGCTTCTGATAAAGGCTGAATAAGTTCCTTTGTATTCCTTTAATGATAAACTTGACAGCAGTTCTTACAGGATAGTGTAATTTGAACAGGATGGGAAGGGAACACTTCTGCAAAGTTTTAGTTGATCAGTTTTTAATTTTTTCTACATCGTGGCACTTTAAGTAATGTTCAGTTAACGGTTATAGAATGACTCAGTTTTCAGAATATATTAAAGTTCAGAAAAGTATATTTCATAATCAGTAACTAAAATTTCACCATAACATTGAAGTTGCTGAGGAAGGAGTAACAACAGTATCAATCACATCACTATCAATATAAGTTAATTTAGGTTTGTAATATCTAGACATAGTAAGTTGAGGTTGATATGCCATTTGAGGTATTGGTAAAAGAATGGTAGTTATTTTTTATATGTCGTTCAAGAGAATGCAGAAAATTTAAACACAACTGAAACAATTCCATTACATGCGAAAGGCAGAGATTATGTATTCATGAATTATACATATATAAAGAAATATGTACATATGGTTTGAACAGTGCCAGTAATTTGTTGGTGTTTAGTGAATGGAAGACCCACAGGTTATTTAACTCCAAGTGAGTTACAGAAGACTTATTACTCTTAATGCAAATTGTGACCCTAATCAAAACAAAATATTCAAATAATTGCACAAACACTTCATTTTTTTATAGTTACTATGTTATTGAGTAAACTTCATAACTTTCTCAGTAGTTGGAAACCTTTATGTTGAATAATAAAAAGCAAGTCATTGTATACAGTCCTTGAATGACCAAGATGTCAAAAGATGTCTTTTTAGAGTAAATATCTAGGATGAGAATAGAGAGTCTACTTAGAGTGATCAAAACTATGAGACATACACTGCCATTTAATAGTGAAGATGAACAATCCTCCTATAGAAAACTTGAAAGCATTTGAAGAATTAAATAGTAAACTGCAGAACTTGGAAACATTGGTGATGTGTTGATTTTTTAAAACTTCTATTGTGGTAAAATATACATAACACAAAATTTACCACTTTAACTATTTTTACATGTATGGTTCAGTGGCATTAAATACATTCATATTGTACAACCACCATCCATCTTCGGAACTCCTTAATCTTCCCAAACTGAAACTCTGTACCCATTAAACAATAATTCCACATTTGCTCTTTCCCCTCCCTAGCCCCTAGCAACCACCATTTTTTTTCCATTTCTATGAATTTGACTATTCTAGGTACTTGATATAATTGAAATCATACCATATTTGTCCTTTTGTGTCTGACTTATTTCACTTAGAATAATGTCTTTAAGGTCTATCTATGTTATAGTATGTTTCACAACTTTATTCAGTTTTTTAAGCTGATTATATTCCGTCATATGTACATACCACATTTGGTTATCCATTCATCTGTCAATGGACTTTGAGTGGTTTTCATCTTTTGGCTATTGTGAATAATGCTGCTATGAACACAAGTGTACAAATAACCTCCACTCCCTGCTTTCATTTCTTTTCGGTATATATAATATACCTAAAAGTGGAATTGTTAGATCATATGGTAATTTTATGTTTAGTTTTTGAGGAACAGCTAATACTGTTTTCCACAGCACCTGCAATATTTTACATTCCTACCAGAAATACACAAGGATTCCAGTTTCTCCATATCCTTGCCAACATGTGTTATTGGGGGAGGAGTTGTGGGGTTATTTTTTTTGGTTTTTTGTTTGTTCGTTTGTTTGTTTGTTTGTTTTTTAGATAATAGCTGTCCTAATGGGTGTGATTGAGCTCTTTTGAGATGAGGTTTGGGACACTGGAAGAGAGCATGGGAAGTAAATTGAACACTATATGTTTTTTATGTAGTGGCTAATGGTTTTTGTGTATAACAAAAGTTTTTTGTTTTTTGTGGTTTTTTTTAATTTCAAAAACCAGCTGTTGGTACAGCAAAAGCAGTAAGTGCCTGTGTTAGAAAAGAACAAATAATTCAAATTAATAATCTAACTTTAACCTTAAGGAAATAGAAAAAGAAAAAAAAACTAAACACAAAGCTAGCAGAAGGAAGAAAACATAAAGATTAGAGATAAATGAAGAGATGAATTAAGAATTAATGAAACCCAAAGTTTTTACTAGATCAACAAACTTTGACAAACCTTTAGCTAGAATGACTAAGAAAGAAGGAAGGAAGACTTAACAATTTCCATCCTATAGTCCTATTGAAAAATGGGCAAAGGACTTGAATAGATATTTCTCCAAAGAGGATAATAAATGGCTAACAAATCCAGTAAAAGAGTCTCATTAAGAAAATGCAAATCAAACATCAGTGAGGTAGCACTTAAGGCTCACTAAGGTGGCTATAAGTTTTTGTTTGTTTGTTTGTTTGTTTGATAACAAAAATAACAAGTGTTGACAATGATGTGGTGAAACGACCCATCATACGTTGCTGGCGGGATTGTAAAATAGTGCAGCTGCTGTTTATTGGTTCCTCAATAAGTTAAGCATAAAATAACCACGTGACCCAGCAGTTCTCCGAGTTATATACCCAACAGAATTGACAGAGATGTTCAAATGAAAGCTTATGCGCAAATAGCCGAAAGGTGGAAACAACCAATTGTCCATCAACGGATGAATAAATAAACAGAATGTAATATATTCATATTATTCAGCCATAAAAAGAATAAAATACCCATACATGCTGCCACATAGATTAACTTTGAAAACATTGTGCTAAGTGAAAGAAGCCAAACACAAAGAATATTTTGTATGATTCCTTGTATATAAAATATTTGGAATAGGCAAATGTATAGAGATCAGTGCAGATTAATGGTTGACAAGGGCTTTGGGGAGGAAGGAAGGAGTGGAGAGTAGTGACTGCATAATTAGTACAAGGTTTCTGTTTAGGGTGCTGAAAATGTTCTGGAACTGAATAATGGTGATGGTCGCACAACATTGCGAACATATTGAATGCCACTGAATTGTTCCTTTTTAAGTGGTTAAACTGGTAAGTTTTTTACATTATGAGTATTTTAACGCAATTTTTTTTTTAAGCTGTAATACAACAGGAAGTCACCTGTTTGGTAGACTAGCACTACATCTGATGACCAGTGATATTAGCATAATCGGGGGTGAGGGGAGTATTGTGCTTTGTAATATGTGAAAATTTTCCTAGGAAGTTAAAAAAGTACAGTAGATTTCCCCCATCCTTTCTCCTGAGTCATTCAGTCTCAGGTAGGTTCTAGGAATCTCTGTATTGAAGAGCGTTTAAGATAATTATGATACAGGTGGCCCCCAGTTTTACTTATTCATGTTAAAAATGCCATGTTATACCATCATGTATGAAACACTCTAGGATGCCAGATATTTTAGGCTCTGTACATAAAAGTGTTACTTGGTGCTTTTATAAAGATAAGCAAACAAACATGAGATCGGCCAAATTTAAAAGTTAGATTTTCTTGTGTGCGTATGAGAAAACTGAATCCAAAAATTCAGAACTTCTCTATTGCTAAATCTTTAAATAAACTTGCCCCTTGAATAGATGTGGCTGTTTTATCTTGTGACTTTGAATCTTCCTGACCACTCCAACATACCCATCACATATTTATTGCAGTCCTTCTAATGTATAAATTAAGAAAACAGAGGTTACTTTGTATACTTACGGTTTACTAATATAAAATATCATGCTAAGATTTAACATTTATGATTTCTGGATTACAAATTAAATTTCAACAGAACTCGAGCTATTTCTAAAAATCAATGACATGGGGATTTGTGGTTTAATTTGAAGTACGACTTTGATTCGTGCTTTAAAGCTGCTTTGTGTGGAAAGCGAATCATTTAGGTAAAGAATGAGTCTGGCTACTATTAAGCTACTTAGTTTCTCTATAAGTCTGTTTTCATGAGATTCAGTTTTGAGACAATAATATTGTATGCTGTATGCCAGGGAGAGCAATTTGCTTACTAGTTCCAAAAACTGATGGGCTTAATTTTTTAAACTCCAGTATTTGGGAAATATTTTGAAGTTCGATGTAAAATTTTTTTCTTAACCATTTTTAGGCCAACCAGGCATTCGAGAAGCTATTTCCATGTCCTGTATAACCAATGGAAGTGGTGCGAACAGAAAACCAAGTCATACCACATCTGTCTCAATTGCAAGAAAAGAAACTCTTTCATCTGCTGCTAAAAGGTATCCATGGGCGCGGGGCAACATTATAAAATTGTCTGAATGTGATAACTCAGTCTCCTTTTGAAATGAATATGAAATAGAGTTTATGGAATTCAAGTGAGCATGTCCTTTGAATTCTTTAACTTTAAATATAGACACATTCAGCCTATCCTCACACAGTTTACATTCATTGTACCTATTGAGTTGTGTGAGGCAGCTTTTGGTTATTAACTAAAGAAAGCAGTTTCATTTCCTGGTTTTGTTTCTTTTTAACAAGCATTTGTTGATGAGATAAGCATGACTATATTTAATGAAATTACATAAGTGAATTTTCCATAGCAAGTGGTATATTTGATATAGCATGCTTGTTTGCTTACTTATTTATTAAAGTAGTATAGTTGACATATAATACTATATTAGTTTCAGATGTACAATATAGTGATTTGATATTTATATACCTTAGGACATGAATACCACATTAAGTCTTGTAACCATCTGTGACTGTACAAAGTTGTTATGACATTATTGACTGTATTCCCTATGCTGTACTTTATATCCCTGTGATTTATTTTGTAACTGGAAGTTATACCTTTTAGTCCCCTTCACCTTTTTCACCCAACTTCCCACCCTCTTCCCTTCTAGGAACCATCAGATTGTTCTCTGTATCTATGAGTCTTGTTTTTATTTTTATTTTTTTTAATTCTACATAAAAGTGAAATAATCATTGTATTTGTGATTCTCTGATACAGCATTTTTAAAGAAGAAATACAATCTTTGATATACATCTACATTAATGGGAGGTTAAACACTATTATGACTTTTATTCTTTAACCGTGACTGTAAAATTAAGACTTAATTCAAAATATAGTACTGTGCTGTGTGTATGTGTATTGGGATGGAGGGCAGGAAGGCAGTGAAAATACAGTAATATAAAAATTTCTGTGGATTACAGATTTACATTCTATATGTTCTTTTTATCAATTAATTAATTTAATCTTCTGTTTAAGCAAAATTGTTTTAGTGTAATTCCTAGCAAATTATTCCATTGTGGAGTTGGAGAGACCACAAGAGATCAACTGCTAATCTTATAACTGTTTTCAAAGAATGATTGAGGACCTTAAGTAATAGAATAATATTTAAAATGTACTGATGAAAAATGATTGCCTCAATAAACTAATGCCAGTGACTGAATTATTTATCAATGAAGATTTATAGATGTTAACCAAACATTTAGCCACAGAAACGGTGAAGAAAAGCCCCTACTAGAATTCAGTCCTTGAAGTCATTTTCATTACAGGATCTAGACTTTCTCCTCTAAAGCATGCCAAAATTTATTACCTGCTCTACTTTCAGTGAAAAAAAAAAAAAAAAGAAAGGACAAATTATAAGAAAACAAATACATGGTGGAAATTTTTAATACAGTTTTTAATCAACTTCCAGTAACAGTTTGGATTCAGACCATTTTCTTACATAGCTGTAGTTCTGTGCTGTGATCGATATTATGCATGATAATGACTCTACCTACAGTCTGAAACCAACTGATTTTGTTATTTTATGATGCAGGAGCTTGTAGTATTATGCTTTTAACCTAGGAGGAAACATTCTTTTAGGTTATTCTGAGCCCACATAAGACTAGTGACCTATGCATTCAGGATAGTTTGAAGAACAGCAGGAAGTAATTTAACTGTTATAAATTTCAAAGTTAACCTGATATTTTTGAGGAAGAACTGTATTTCTTGGTACAGACTTTAAAAAATTGAACATGAAGTAGACAGTCAAGGGCCAGTCTGAAGGTATCAGAACTGAATCAAATTAAGAAACATCACTGTCAAAATTATAATTTAACATTTTAAGCTATTATATAAATTGTATATATACTATGTATATTTGTTTAAAATGTTCTTAAACATACTTCCTTGTAGATTATGCACCTTATAATCAGATTACAAAATGTCCTTTGATTAAGAAGTGTAGGCAGTAGTTTTCTGCCTTTTCAACTCTGGAATTCAAGTCTTGATTCCATCTGCTTTGTAGTATTGTCAAAAGTGTTTGTGCAATATAAAGATTCTTATCCAGTGTGTTTGAGAATGGTACATGCTTCATTAATCAAGAGTCAAAGTGCGGAATCCCAAGAATTTATACATAAATATTTTAAATATTTTGTTTTAACATAAAATATTCACATATATTCATTTGTCAATTTGAATGAGCCTCCCATCACCTTCTAAGTATGCATCTCCGATTAGATTCCTTGCTATTCCTAGACTATCTTGCATAAAATACACCCATAAAATCATTTTTTAATAATTTTTAGTTTCATTTTTTAAGAGAGTAAGAAATTTAAAATGCTTGCACAACAATATGAATTAATACCCATATCTTTCTCTTTGATTTTTTTCCCCCAACCTTTTATAATTGTCTCATGTACACAAAATTTAACAGTATTTTCTTTTAGTAACTCATTTTTATGGAGTCTTTCCAGAGCATTCAACTGAGTTGTCATAGAAATTATAATTCTCTGTTCTATGTATGTTTTGTCAATTTTCTTTGTATTAACTTAAAATAACAAGTACAACTGGTGGAAACAGATTCAGGGAAGAAAACACAGTTGACTCTTGGTAAGTTTAATACTCAACTAGTGGGAGCAGAAATATATAGAAGAAACAGGAGGTAGAGAATAACCTACTAAACATGAGCATTCAGTGTGCTTTGGGTGTCAGTATATTTAACAGATGTAATGGAAAGTTTCACTAATGCTCTGATTTGGGTAGGTTGAAGTTAGTAAGAGATCTGTTGTCCCCCCAAATCTACCAAGATGGCAAATGCCTTAGAGTAGTGGTCCCCGACCTTTTTGGCACCAGGGAGCAGTGCTCCTATGAGAATTTAATGCCTGATGATCTGAGGTGGAGCTGAGGCGGTAATAGTGCTGGGGAGCGGCTGCAAATACTAATGTAGCTTTGCTTGCCCCACCACCCCACACACACACACACACACAAGGCGCTCACCCCCTGTCGTGAGGCCTGTTCCTAACAGACTTCAGACCAGTACTGGTTGGGTCCGTGGTTCCGGGGTTGGGGACCCCTGCCTTAGAGGTCTTTTTGGTCCTTAGGGGCAATCTTCATAGATACATTTACCTTAGGATTCTTATAAATTCTTCACTGAAGATTTTAACAGCTTCCAGAATTTTCAGAGAAATGTCTTTATTATTGAACAAGAGCAATACAAGTTATATTAGCCGTATGATTTAGGATTTCTGAATTATATAATAATTACTTTTTCCATCATTTGATATTATCTTTTTTATTTGTTGAAATATATGTTGTTCCATGTTATACTTTATTTTACAGTGGTACAGAAAAAAAGAAAGAAAAACCACAAGGACAGAGAGAAAAAAGAGAGGAATCTCATTCTAATGATCAAAGTCCACAAATTCGAGCATCACCTTCTCCCCAGCCCTCTTCACAGCCTCTCCAAATACACAGACAAACTCAAGAAAGCAAGAATTCTACTCCCACCAAAAGGTTTTAACTGATCCCAAGTACAGAGCTAGGGAACAGTTGTAATGATACCTAAATTCTGTGAGAAAAAAGTTGGCTGTCCATGGAGTCTAAGAGAAAGCCTGGTGGCTTTTTCCCCTCCTCCCGTTTTGTTGCTATAATCTATTTTTTTTTTTTAGCATATTGGGAGGTGAAGATCTAAAGTCAAAATTCCTCAGTTAAAACTGGGGGAAAAAAATTAAATCATAAACAGTTTGATGAAGGCAGAAATAACCTACTCTAAAACCAAAACAATATTTTTATGATAAATTATAGAATTTTAAAAATTTATATATAACTATGCACGAATTTATAGCCGTGGGTAGAAAATTGCCATATGTAATTAACCTCTCCGTATTTTGGCATCATTACAACCTTCAACTTGCAAGGGTCCCTCTCAACAAATGGCTCTTCATTGTGACTGCGTCTCAGTTTCAATTTTGGGTTTTGGGAGGATAAGTTCTTGCTTGAGTAGAGAAATGAATCCATTTCACCTGGTCTTTTCTATGCTAAAGGCTTGCTTGAGGGCTTCTCTCTGTGTCTGTAATAATTAATATTTTAAAGTTGTGAGAGGGGGAGAAGGGAGACATTCTAACAATGTGTGTAAGCCTAAATTGGGGATCTAAACCTGCATGCTGAGAGTTCAGTGCTACAGCTGCCTTTTAATCAAATATTAGACCAGCTTAATAAAATTAGCCTGATTACAGCTGGATGATTAGGTATAGATATGTTTGATCACCATACTTCCACTTTGAAATCTTAGGAAAATATTAAACCATTCCCAGAACTGGGTAGGATTTTAGTAAAATAAATGACAACCATTCCTAAAAGATTTATAATATATTTTTATTTGACCAGTTTACTATTTTGTCTCAAATCTCTAATGGAAATTTGGGAAAACAAAACAACCCTTCATTTCATTGATGCATGTTTAACATTTAAAATGCTTTGTCTGTGTTTTTCACGCAGATTCTTATGCTATCTAAATGGTTTGTAATTCTCCTGCCTGTTCTCATGTGGAGTTTTTCTTGGATGTAGCTCATTAACGTTATGCAACTTTGAAGTGTGTATGGTTAAAGGTGGCTTTTTTTTTTTTGGTATAATCAATCTCTTTAAGGTTCTGATTTGACTTGATATCTTCTTTGTCCGAGATCTTTTTTTCAGCTTCTTAAGGTCTCTTGGAAATGTGCTTGTCATTCTAAATTGCTCTTTGGATATACTATTGCAAGAAGTCTTGAAGACTGGATGAGTTGTAGGATAATTAGCAATGCAGCCAAAAACTCATTTATAAATCAAAAAATTTCAGTCGTAAATATGTGGAATTAGTCTGGTCATGGGTAAAATTGTCTCTAAAAGGTAAAAACAAGAGTTTTAGTCCCACAATTTAGTTAGAAATTATCATTTGTACTATATATAATGAGGACATAAAAAATGAAAATAATAGCCTTTTAATGACACAAAAAAGCACAGGTTTTTTTTTTTCACAGATTCACACAATATCACAAATTATGAGAAATAGTGTTGCTTAGAGATTTAAGCAAATGGGTTTTTTTCTATTAACAACTAAAGCATAAATTTTTTTAATCAAATAATATTTGTTCTAATGAATCTTGTGAATATAGTGAAAATTATAAAACAGTAATTGCCTTGCTTAACTCCTTCACTCATCCAGGAAGAACCTTTCAACTAATCTTTCCTTCTTTTCTGGATTAGCTTTAAGGAAATGTTAATTGCTGCTTTTATGTTCTCTTTAAACTGTCAGTTATATGTCACCGTCACTCGTAGAATTTTTCTCTAAGAAATTGATATGTTTCTTGCAGCATAAAACGACCAACGGCTGAAAAGTCACATAATTCATGGGAAAATTCAGATGATAGTCGTAATAAATTATTGAAAGCAGTTTCAACATCAAAATTAATATCAAGAGTTATAAAAAATACAGACAAGTAAGTATTAGACTTTCTCAGTTAAAACTAAAAATTAATTACGTGACTGCCATGTTTGCATGTACAATTAAATGTCTGGTTTGAATCATTCTTTTTAAAAAACCCATATTATAATTTATCTTCTCAGTGTTTTTTTTTTCTTTTAAGAGTTCTAAGAAGGATGGTGTCTTCCAGGAGTTAATCCTCAACTTACATAATAAAGCTCGTTGATCCCATAAGATTTGAATATTTTTCCTTTCATAAGTTCTTTCTGTGCTTTCACTACTTATGTAATTTTATGGAATATGCATTGTTTTATAAAATAGTATATATTAGTAGTTGAGACTAGTGAGAAACTTTAAAATGCTAAAGCTTTTAAAATCACTTCTAGAGCTTTATCTGTGTTATGGCCTAGGCATTGAAGCTTTTACAACTTTAGGTGGTTCTAATGGTCACCCAAATAAAATTATAAAATAAATGTCTTTGAATTCCTTTTGTAGGCATAAAGATGTCATCATCAATCAAGGTAAATGAAAAATGCTTTTTTAAAAAAATATTTATGTTGCTTTTCTACTTCAGTTAAATTTTTGCTGATTGATAAGAATATTGACTTTTTATTCAGTATACTTTATTAGCTCATAGTAATGAAAGAGAAGTACATTATTATAATCATTTAAGAAAATGCCCAGTTTTTATTGTAAGATATGTCATTTTTGTCTCAACCAGCAAAAATGTCAACCCGTGAAAAAAACAGCCAAGGTAAGAATAAGCTACACAGTTGGTTGCCTTCTAAGTTAATTTCTTACTGGATCTCTTATCTGGCTTTTCATTATTGATACTACTAAAGGAAATATGATAATTTGAACTAGTGAATCCAACTACTTTTCTAAAAATTTATCTTATTTCTGTGAGTTTTGAAGATTCAGAGTTAACAGTAGAAATAAATACATTATTACAAAAAGATATAAAACACTAAAGGGAATTTCTCCATTTTTAAAAACAATAAAAGTTGTACTTAGAAAAGCCATTTAAAAGATGGATAAATTTTAACTCAGTTTCCTGTCTTGCCAACTTCATTGCAAATAATCACTCATTTCTTGAAGCTTAGACTGAAAATATAATGAGTCTAGCAAATCCATTTTCTCTTAAATTTTTTTTTATATTAATTGTAATTTTTGGCTACTTGCTGTTGTTGGCTTGTTCTGACCAAAAGAAGGAGAGCAGACTTTCTATAAATGTGTGTTTAATTTAATTGCAAAGTAGGTAAGTTTTATACATTAGTTTTACATTCTCCTCGGATTGCTTGCAAATTTAAAGCATGCTGTTTAAATGAAAGCATGTTCTTTCTGTGCATGCTTTTTACAGTTCATTTCTATTTGTCATAATTATTTTCTGGGCTATTATATATTAACAATGTGATTAAAATTTTTGTTGGAGATTTAAATTGATACCTATGGATTTTTACTTCTTCCTTTGGTTCTAATAAGAAAAATATTTATAATCATCTTTGAATCATTTATTTTTACATAGAAATTTTAAATGAAGTTGATTTTAGCTGGCATTTTTCTCCTTTAGTCGATCTTATTTTTTTCCCTCTTTTATAATTAAATATACGTCAAATAATGGTTGAAATACTTTAAGGAAAAAATGAGATTTTATTTACAAAAACAACCCTTACTACGGTATATCAAAATTTTTAAAAAAAAACAGATGTAGTGATATGTATGGAAAGAGCAGTGAATGGAGAATCTCTGTGTTTAGTGTTTGGTCCTGGCTTTTCTAGATAATAGTCTTGTGACCTAGGCAAAATGACAATGTGAGCATTTTCTAATCTGAGAATATTGGGTAAATGAGAAGGAGCTGCCTGCCTCTTTCTCATATTGTGGTATAGTTTTTGGAAGGAAAAAGGACCTTAAGATTAGTATATAAGTGAGTGGTTTGTGTTGGTGACAGTTTTCAAAAATATTCGGGTATGTAGGTAAACACATGTTTTTAAAAGGAGTGGCTCTTGTTACGGACGCATCACGAAGCAGGACTTTAGCCTGTGTCTTGGAAGAAGGAAGAAAGAAAAGCTAAAAAAGGTTATAGAAAAATAAGTTAAATTCTACTTAACTTATTTTGAGAATTTTAACTCAAAAAGATTGTCCCAGATGTTGGAATTTAATGTCGAATATTGCTTGCATTTAGCCTTATTTTTGGATTTTGAGTCTGTTCTTTTGCCATTTTAATCAGCTATATTCTATCTGCAGCAGGCTCTTATTGCTAGAGTATACCTTCAGGGAGAACCTTTGTGTTTCAGCCTGTTAGGTAGGTAAGGATAGTTTAGGAGATAAGTGAGGTAAAGAAATAAAGAACACAGGGAATCTATGAAGGATAGCTTGAACAAATAGGTAAGAGGCATCTACTGAAATAAAGAACATTTGAGGAGGAGTAGATGTATAGAAAAGAATAAGAGTTTGGTTTTGGACAGTTATACTTGAGTTGTCTATAAGACTTAATCTACTTGTAGAGATGTGTAGCAAGCAACATAGTGCAGATGTTAAAACACATGTATTTTGGAATCCAGAGACTGGATTCACCATTACTTAGTTATGTGACCTTGAGGTTACTCTACCTTCTTAAGTCTTTTATTTTCTCATTTATAATTGAGACAATAATAAATCCTCAAAAGATTACTGTAAAAAATAAAGATAATGAAATGTTTAAACATAATTCTGGCACAAATAAATTTGATATATGAGTCTGGCTGTAAAACCTTGCACTCAAATGTGTAGAGGAAGATGAAAGATGATTATTAAATAGATGATCTTCATTTGACATTGTAGATATATTTTTAAAGTTTGGTATTCATTTCACAACACATTTTTTATATACTTTATTAATCTAAAATATGTATGTGTCACTTTTGGAGAGTCTTTTAAAAATATGACTTACTGATTTTTTTTAGCTCTTTTTTAACAATGACAAGTGTAACTTACTCCCAGCCATCTGCTTTGATTTGGGAAGAAGCCAGTTTACATTTGGTACATTTAGGTGAGTGGTAGGAGGAAAAACTTTACCTCAAGGGCCTGTGACCTTCAGCCACAATAGAGTAGAAGAGCTGTAAAACTGAATGTTCTTATCAACACTTAGGCAGAAGAAAGGAAAGCATGGGTAAAAGCAATGGGAGGTATAATGGAATGTACACAAGGCAATTTCTAAGGCTGGGTGTGGGTGGAAGGACAGGTTATATCACTAAAAAGAGGCTCTTACTGACTTAGATCTTTATCTACATTCAAATCCCAGAAGTCTAAACCCTTTTCATTACTTTTCTCCCTAGTTCTAGTGGATCTGCTGTCATCATGGGAGAAATAAAGACTTAACACATCAAGTTAAACTGAATTTTTCCTGTAGGACTATTTGTTGTTAGATGTAGCAGTTAGGTTCTAGTACAATACTATTTATTTGGTAAGTTATTGATTAGAAAGTTTTTTGAACTAACTTGGGGGACTATAAGCACCTTTTATAAAATTATCTATTGGGCAAAATAAATAACAGTCTGACAAATTTTTAACAAGCAAAATGAGTACAGCGAATAAGCTCTTCCTTAACTGTTAAGTTATCAAACATATGACAGTTTTTAAATATGGAAAATAAATGTCACATGTCCTCATTTCTAGGGCAGAACCTGAATGCCCTCAAATTGCTACATGTTACTGGTTTGTTTGGTTTGTTTGGGTATTTTTTTCCAAAAAGATTTGAATAATCTTAAATTATTTTTCCCTCGTAGCATCTTAAACTTGTGCTGTTTAGAACTGGCATGTAATTTAATTGATCATTGTTGAGAATCTGAATGACTCAAATCCCTACTGGAGAGAAGCCTGCTTAATTGAGGAAAAGGGAACTCATCAGTCAACCAAATCATACTCTTCTGCTTACTACAGGTCTATTTAGATGGAAGAATATCTGTCATAATATCTTAGAATCTGAGAAGTAAATGACTATTTCTTATTAGCTACCTAGCTACCCATCTAAAAATGGCTTCAAATGAAAAATACTTAAAAGTCACATTGAAATACATACTGTCCAAAATCCTTTGGTAATTTATTGTAACCAAACAGTTGTTCAAATAACCAAAAAATATAAAATCATTTACAGAATTGGAGAAAAATAAATAATCTTGTCATTTTAAAAGCTATCATGGTTCTAATATGTTTCTTTATTGTTCTTTATCAGATACACACTTTAAACATTCATTCATTTAACAAATATTTATTGAGTGCTTATTTTGTCAAGACATATCCTAGGCACCCAAATTCAGCAGTTGCAATGTCTGAATTCAGTGGAACTTATTCTCCATGTAAAAAACATTTAATAAATACATAATATGTCAAGAAGTGATGCATATTGGCAAAGAATAAGGAGAGTAGAGAATTGCTATTGTATAGAGAGTGTTTAGGGAAGACTGTTCTGACAAAGTGATATTTGTGCTACCTAAAGGAAGTGAGTGAAATATGTGGCTATCTGGAGAAAAGAATTTCACAAGCAGAGAAAACAAAGTCCGTAAACCCTGAGACAAGCAAGCACTTTCTTGCTGTGTTAAGCAACGGCGAAGAGGTCATTTATCATAGTGCGCATTCAATTTTGTTTTTGTTAGCTATTACATTTATAAAATACGGATTCATTCTAAGCAATAGAAGCTTCATTATGATTAGGAAAGGAAAGCAAAGTGGTATAGTGGAAAGAGGATAATTATTAGACCTAGTTAGAGGTGAAATGAGTCTGTTTCTGTTTTATTTATTTTGTTCTTTAGATTCCACATACAAGTGAAATCGTGGTATTTGTCTTTGACTTATTTCACTTAGCAGAATACTCTCTAGGTCCATCCATATCATTGCAAATGGTAAGATTTCATTTTTCTTATGACCGAGTAATATTCCATTGTATATATGTACCACATCTCCTTTATACAGTTGTCTGTTGATGGGCACTTAGGTTGCTCCCGCATCTTGGCAATTGTAAATAGCGCTGTAGCAAACATAAGGGTGCATACACCTTTTCGAATTAGTGTGTTGGTTTTCTTTGAACAAATACCCAGAAGAGGAATGGCTGAGTCATAAAGTAGTTCTATTTTTAATTTTTTGAAGAACCTCTAAACTTTTTTATAGTGACTATACCAATTATAGCAAGTCTCTTAAAAGTTTTGTGTGTCTTATATTGTTGAAATAGATTTCTATCTTTTCCCAAAGAAAGACTTTTTTAGGCAGTAAAAATAATCTAAAATGTTTAAGCAAACTCCCATATCTGATATTTTCAAATAATTTTATGACAATCACAGCTGTAAACAAAACAGCAAAGAGAAATCTGATTAACTGAGGTTTGGATTCAAGAAAGTAGTTAACTGTAGGTTGGTTCATTATAGTAATTAGTATAAGAATTGATTAGCTGATGTGTAAGACTTGGTTATGTCTCCATTGTAAGCTCCTAAGGGGCTAGGTTCACATCTTTTACATCTTCATTGTGCATCCTCACGCCACCCCCACCTCCATGTAGTTAAGAATTCAGTAAAATTTACCAGCCAGTTGAACTCTGTCTATAGAACCAAGAAAATTAATGTAGTGTTTTCATACTTGGTCAGAATTTTCAGACCCAGGTTTTTGTCCTAGCTAATAAAACTAACTACATAATATTTGGCAAGTCTCACAACTAGGAATTTTTAAATCTATAAAATAAGATTAGTTTATATTCTCCTGAATTCACTACTTCTCATTTTTAAAATTTGGGGATCTACATTTTTTTTTTATCATCTATTTTAACAGCTAGCCCTTTGAAAAGGGATGAAATTTTGACTATGATAGTACAAATCAAATTCCTTGTTCAAAGTCCAAAGATTTCTATAGGTTACATTGTTTCATTGGAATTTTAAAATAGTAAATTATTACTAAAATAGAGCTGGATCATTAACTGGGACTTGAAATCTTTTGTTTGGAAAAAACATTCTTTTAGAACGGATTTTAGCCTACCTAAAATGGTCTTTGTCACTTTCTACTGTAAAATTATAGTCAATATTTCTAGGATCTTGTTTACCTATCATATAACTGTAGTTTGGGGAACTAGAACTGGTAATACCAGAGAAAAAGCTCAAACTAAATAAAGATTCTTTAATTTTCTGTTTGCTGAAATCAGATAGTATCACACCCCACATGCTACATTTTAGTTAAATATAAAATTCAAATTCCAGTTTTGGTGGGCTCTTTAGTTCTAAAGATTGTAAAACTAAAACAAACAAACAAACAAAAATGGATTTGAAAGTAAAAATTGGGGGGAGAAAAATGCTGTAAATTGCAGGCATTCCCAAAGTTCAGAAGGCTTTCTACAGTAGTACCCATTATGCCAGTAAGTACAGTCATAGTCCAAACCCCTGAAGCTCTGCCATTGCATTTGGAAGTCTTTCCCCCCTGCTCCCCCCAAGTCTAGAAATAGAGCAAGCTGTGAAAAAAATGGAAGTATTAATCCTGGAGCAGAGTTGCCCCATACTAACTTCCTTCTCCACTCTGCCTGAAGTGTTAGTCTGCAAAAGATTTTTAATCAGTTATTTACATCAGTATGAATAATTTCAGCAATACTGCTTTTCTTAGAACACCTGAGATAACTATCCCACAAAGTTTGGATTAGGAAATATGAAGATCATTTTGCAATTAGGAAATATGAAAATTATTTTGGGGAACAGGAGAGTCTAGGGGAGATGGTGAAGTAGAAGGTCAACAAAACCTGAGGATACTGAAGGAGAAATGCTAGGAGGTTATGTCAAAAGGACGTAGAAAGGAAAGTAACATCAAGAATTTCAAATTTTTGCCTAGCATTCGCTCAAAGATAGTAGAGCAGAAAGATCATCTTCTCTTCTGTTGTGCTCTCTGATTTCCTACTGTTGGGTCCAGAGTTCAAGCTAGTATTATTTGGATTATAAGTAAGTTGTATTTTCAGGTAATTGGATTTTTATGGACTAGGCTGAGGATTTCACCATTGTCTGAACAGTATTGTCTAATAGAAATATAATGTATAACACGTAAGTGATTTATGTCCTAGTAGCCACATTTTAAAAAGTAAAAAGACACAGGTAACGTTAAGTTTAATATATTTAACCCAGAATATTAATTCAATGTGCGATTAATATTAAAAAATCATTAATGAGATATTTTACCTTCTTCATACTGTCTTCAAAATCTGGTGTATATTTTACACTTACAGCATATCTCAATTCAAATTAGCCACATTCTAAGTATTCAATAACCAGTGGTATCACTTTGGACAGATACAGAGCATAATTTTAGACGAAAATGTTTCCCAGGTTGTAAATAATAGACAAAATTTTGGAGTACAGTTTAAAAACTAAATTGACCCCTCTAAACCTTGGTTTCCCCCTCTGTAAAAGTGGAGTGTTGGACTAGATGAGCTAGCTCTAGGATATCTTTCAGTTCCAACATTTATGTGTCTAGAAAGATGAATGATGGCATTTATGGTATTTTTATTAATAGTATCCCACAGAATTTCTTCTTTTATAATTAAGCTATCATTGACCAGATTCAGTTAAGGATATTTGTTTTCTTTGAGCATAAGCTAGGAAATGGTAAAGCTGTGATTCAAAAAGAAATCTGTCTTTATCACCAAGTTTGTGTTTTCTCTACTGTGTAGCCTCCTTCTCAATCTCAGGAATTTTTATGGTATTGGGGTGGGAGATAAAATGTTGAAATTAATTACATTTTGGTAAGCAATATCTTTATTTCTGAATACTAATAGCCCTCCACTGTGTTTACTAATTATCATGAGATAGTTTAATAATTTCTTTTCTTCACATTCTTTTTCGGGACCACCAAGCTTTGTTTTAATAGTACTGATCTCAGCTAGAAAGTAGCATTGGGGTAAAACAAATTAAGTCCTTTGACTACAAGATCAAGAAGACTGACAGCTTCAGGGAACAGTCTGCAGTGAGAATTTGGATCAACAATGATTGAGGAGAAAAGAGGCTCTTCTTTGTCTATATATTTTACCTTACTCCCAAGGCAAAGGCTATCATAGAAAAAAGAGATTGCAAACTAGCGACCTTGTATGCACTCTTTTTATATGCTATTTTTCCTTTCTTGGCAAAGGAGTAAACATTTTAAAATTGTAAATTTTGCGGTAAATTATAGATTTCCTACTTCTCTTGAAAAACGAGAAGATCTGGCAACACTGGGCCTACATCTTTCATGGAGCTGGCTAGCTGCTGCCTCCCTAAGATGGAGTATGGGGTCTGCCACCCAAACCTGTCATCCTGTATTCTTTCATTTTGCATTTCTGGCCTGGGCCTACAGATATCTGAATTTGTGACCCGTTTTAAAATGTACATGATAGAATCAGCAGAATTCGAGCTTATTTGCCTACCCTTGCTGTTCTGTGGCCAGTTACTTTAAAGCTTATGAAGAGGTATTACAGTGTGTTAGATGGTATATTATAAACACTGGACAGTGTTTAGAATGGTTACAAATTCTTCTCAAAGGGAAAGGAATGAATATTTATCAAGGACCTCATATTATACTTTACAGTATGGTATCTTATTTAATCAATCATAATTCCAAGTAGTATTATTGTTTTATATAATGAGAAAAAGATGCCAAAATCACACAGCTAGTAAGGATCTGAATCAGTCTTTTTCCAAAATTAATGTCCTTTCTGCTGTAATGTATTGCCTCCCTGTCAGTCCCAGGAATTGTTTACAATTTTGCCTAGATTATTTACTTGGTCTCCAGTGTATATACTGCCAGTTTACAGTCAGGGAAAGTATTTTCATTCTAACATGCATTGCCATTTTTATATTAGAAAAGTTAACAAGCAGAAGATAGTTCCTTTACTTAGTTGCTTGTGCTGCTTGCCAATTGATAAATCAATGCTGTATTCTGAGCTGTCTCTGTTAGCAAAGGAAAACTTTTTTTTTTTTTCTTTGATACTATCCCTAACCTGTTCCCTTTGTTGGACATACAGTCTCTTCTAAGTGGCGGTAGAAGCATCTAATAAATGTTTTACTTTTTTATTCAGAAAGCATTCATGATATACATCTTTGATCAAAGGTCCTGGGAGAAATTCCAAAGGACAGGATATCTGCCTTTGAGAATTTATGTTCTTAAAAAAAAAAACTGGAATGAAAATAATATAACAAATTCACACCTATAAGAAAGTAAACTGTACAAAAAAGGATGAGATATAGATAAAGATGATTGCAGAAGGGAGATAGTTGCAGTTGGTAATCATTTAGTTATCATCAAAGTTCAGCTATGCTAAAAATCATCAGGAAGCAGAGCCCACTCTTAGATTCAGAAGTAATAAAGACATACATCATGTGGTGTTAAAACCATTCCGTAGGAGGTATTAGCCTGTTCTTAGATCTTAGAGGCTGAGCAGCACACTGTGAGTAATAATAATAAAAATAACTTGAACTTCTCACCCATAACAAGCACAGTTTTTAAATCCAACTGAATAAATTCTTGTAGGCATTCAGCAAAGTAATTTATCTTCTTGTTCCGTTGGTTTGTGTTATATAAACTATTATTATGTACTCTTCTTAGAGGTTTAGGTCATCGTTAGAGGTTCTAAGGGTTGTATCAGCCTCTGGTTGATGACCACATTCTCAGTCTGTTTCTAATGCTGTATTCATATTTTGCCAGACAGGTTGGCAAGTGCTAGATAGCACTCCGTCTCTTAATTTCTCCTTCTCTTTTAGGTTATTTTATAACCATTTTATAAACACTATCAACATTTATTAAACCTATCTGTAGGTGGTTGGAAAGACTGCGGCCAGTGATAGCTCGGAAGTTTTTTTGTTGGTTCTGTTTGTTTTGTTTCTTTTTTTAAGGCATAAGAATCTCAATTGTTAAGTGAAGTATTGTTTCCATTTGTGAAAGATGTATATTGATTTGATTCTAGAGTTGTCTTTTTGACATTTTTTTATATTAGATTGTTGCACATCCTATAAACAGCTATTGGTTTCTGTAAATAAAAGATGTTTTAGGACCTATGCTGCTAATTAGAAACCGTTTCCTAGTATTGTCTTTAAAATGTTAGTGTATTGTAATTAAATTTAATTGCCGATTATAGGCACAGCTGTGAAGTGAGGGACATTGGTTGGTCCTCTTTTCCTAGTAGCTCTGCTCACTGCTATGTGTAGCAGAGCTCTTAGTTTCTCTCCCCAGCCTGACATGAGAGTGTTTGACTCCTCTCCCTGTGGTATGTTCTCAGGACATGTTCTTTGTATGTCATTACAACATTTGTGGGTTGATCAAGTAGTGTGGTAGACGTGGTTGTTGTCTACCCTGATAATCTCTCTTCTTTTCAACTATCAGAGAAACTTCTATCATAAAATTCTTTTCTTTTGCATTTTTCGACCTCATCCTTCCTGGCTGTGGTGAAATGTGTCAACTGATACAGATAAATTATATTTTAATTATGAAAGTAGTTATTCTCCTTTAAGAAAATGACCAGTAGTTTTTTCCTATGATGTTTTGGACTAGGTCTTTATACAAAAAACTTATATATAATGAGATGAGAACTCTATTTTTTATCATTTTTATTGTATCACATTAGTAATCTACTTTTCTATGATTATTCAGAAAAGGCATCTGACTTAACTTTTGTCTCTTGTTTCTGCAGAAGGAGAATATGTTAAAATGTTTATGCGAGGTCGGCCAATTACAATGTTTATTCCTTCTGATGTTGACAACTATGATGACATCAGAACAGAACTGCCTCCTGAGAAGCTCAAACTGGAGTGGGCGTATCCTTCTGTACCATGACAGCAAATTTGTTTGCTTCATTTAAGAAAAATTAGTATGCCAAAAAAGTAAAGTAAATGTATTAAGCATAACAACTACTTGAGAAAGTAAGGGGATGCCACATCTGATTCTTTCACATATCATATGTATTTTGCTATTAGCAATTTAAAATCACCAAAATTAATATCTTCGAATAGGGCAAACAATCTGATCATCATGGCAGGTAGTAAAGTAGTTCCAGTTCAGTCCCACTTATATCTTTTTGATTCCCTGAAGTATCCTTGAAAAAATTTAACACTTTGAAAATTATATTTATTAAAAACCTTGACTCTTTTAAGATATGGTTATCGAGGAAAGGACTGCCGAGCTAATGTTTACCTTCTTCCTACTGGGGAAATAGTTTATTTCATAGCATCAGTAGTAGTACTGTTTAATTATGAGGAGAGAACTCAACGACACTACCTGGGTCATACAGACTGTGTGAAATGGTTGGTATTGTTTCACATTGTTCTTTTTTTTTTGCATGCTCTCTTTTTTTAATTTGGGTTTTATTGGAAATGATTTCTTGTAGAGAGCTCGGAATTTAAGGATATTATGAGTATTCTGTAGAAAATATTTTAAAAAGAAAAAAAGACTTACAGGCCACCAAAATGGTTGCTGTGGTTTCAGCCGCCATAAAACATTTCACATGTAAATCTCAATTGGAACCTGTTTTGCTTTCTCAGATCTCTTATGGTCATTTCATTCCGGCCTATAGTATCAAATATATGTGGGATACACGAGACTTACAGATATCTGAGAATGATTATTAGTTACCAAATATTTATCGATGATTTAATCTATGCAGATAAAATTTGGACTCGTGGCTTTCTTTTTGAGAGAAAGAAATCATGGCTGAATAAGGATCATAAGTATCCCATAGGATGTAAACTGTAAAAATGTGAGAATACCTTTTCAATGCTTAGGCATGTTTTTAAATTATTCAGTTAAGTTTGCTACTTCTTAAGTTCAATCATTTATTGCTTAAATTCATTTTCTAACATTTAAAAGCTTCTCTGTACTATTCAGGCAACTGTATATCAGAAAAAAATATGACTATTAGAATATTACTTATTGTTAAAGTTTTAGAGATGATTAAAATATTGCCTTTTACACTGGAAGAATAATATATGTACAGAATTATTCATTACAACATTATTTGTGATAGTAAAGATTGGAAACAGTCGAAATGTCTTTAGCTGGGAACCAGTGAACTTGTGGTGTACTCATAGGTTACCAAGCAAGTATAGAGAACGAATAAGGAAGCTCTTTATATATTAATATAGAAAGATCCTTATATGTACTCCCAAGTACAAAATTTAAGGAGCAGGAAAATGTGCACATTGTTTTACCATTTGTAAAAAAGGAGGTGGAAAATAAATACTTATCGTGGCTTCCACATATGTAAAGATTGTCCAGAATTATTAATAAGAAACTGATTATAGTGATTATCTGGTTGGGAATTGTAGAGAGGTAGAGGATATCTTAGCAGATAGGGCAGAGTAGGAAAGAGACTTTTTCTTATGTCTTTTATAGCTTTTGATATTTGAACCATGCAAATGTAATAACCTAATCCAGAAATTTTACTTTTTAAAATGTGTTCTAAAAGATCTGAATTAAGAATGACAAAATGTTAATATATTAGATTTTTAGTTTTAATGTGTAGTTGATCTCAATAAAGGACATAAACTATTTAAGTAAGAGGAAATAGTATTTGTTAAAGAAACATTGATAAACTGTGGCCTCTTTAGTAATCAAATCAAATTGTCAAGGCATTTTAAAAGATGTAATTCTTAATCTGAGGAAATTATAAATGTTTTAAAAAGTGAAACATTTCTTACGACAATTTAAATTGATAACTGCTCTCTGGAAAGCAATGAGCAAATACAAGAACAAAAAAAACCTTATATTTTCAGTCGAGCTTGCTCCTTGGTTGCAAGATGTAGAAAAATTCTATATATGGACATGAAGACATCTTTTTAAATTTCTTGCTAGTCACTCATAACATTTATCATTAGAAATGTGGGCATATATGCTGCACTGTGTTCAATTTGTACAGAAAAGTTCCTTGCCCCAAGTTTGATCTATGAGAGTTTCGCATTAAGAACTAATTAAAAGGTTGGAGGCACTAGGTGTGAAGATGGTCACTGCTATGTTCCTTTGCAGAAAAGAAGAAGGATTGAAAGAGCTGTTAAGTCAATAATATGCATTAGGATTATGTAGCAAAATGGGAGAATGCTTATGTTTTAATAGATTACAATTATACAGTGCAGTATTGCATCTTCAATATAATAAAACCATGTGAATTTGCGCATGAACATAGGTGCAGGACTAGAAAGGAACTTGAACGAATAAAAGTTTATCAGGCCACAATTGTGAATAAATATTTTCTTCATACAGTGTTCCATTAATTTCCATTGAGTTTAACAAAGAAAGTACAGCTGAAAACTTAGAATTCTTTTGATATTTGATGTTTATTTGATTTGCTAAAGAAAATAAATAGGTCATTTAGATTTTTTAATGATTAAAAACTATTTGTTTTTAAAATATTCGTACTAAGGCATATTTCTGCTGTTTCACATGTTTCCTGTATGTAACATTGTTGTTAATACTGCATTTTAGCCTTGCTGTACATCCTGACAAAATTAGGATTGCAACTGGACAGATAGCTGGAGTGGATAAAGATGGAAGGGTGAGTGGCACAGTTTTATACCTTCGGTACCTAGTGACATTGCTGTTAGAATGGAATTGATGGTAATTTTTAATACCTCATTTTATTCTAAAATTTAACTACTAAGAGATTTCTAGTATAAGCCCGGGAGAAAATATTAGAATATATTAGAATATAAGAACAGTCCACAAAACAAAAGTTTTCCCTAAAGAAACTATTTACTTGTCAAAATGGGAAAGAACTGATAAGCTTGTTACTTTTTTTTTTTAACATAGAATAACTTAATGTTTGCCAGAGGTACTGCGATTTCCCTAAATTTATAGACCCCTTGATTTTATATATGAGTTAGAACTGATAACATTTAAAATTTTTCAGTTACTATTCAATATTATTAAATAGGCTTACTTAACAAGTTCATTATTTGTAAGGATCGGCAGTGAATATTAATGATTACTGATTAGCAGTGTTTGACTGTACTCGTGACATTCTCTGGTTTCAGTTTCTTTAATAAAAAGGAGTTGGAGGGGTTATATTGGATGACTTGTAAGACCTCTTCCAGTTTCACATTCTGTCTTAAGGACCGTTTGCTCAGCAATTAATTAAACACTGATTTTAAAAAGTATTATTTTCTCAGGAATAAAGGCAAGGCTAAAAACAGGTATCTAGAGCAAATTCGCCTGGGTTAGAATCTTGAATACACTTTTTAATAGCTGCATAGCTTTCGGCAAGTTATTTAAATCTCTGTACTTCAGTTTCCTCTTCCATTAAATGGTGATTGTAATACTGCATACCTCTGGGATTATGATGATTAAATGAATTAATACATACGAAGTACTTAGAATTTTATATGGCACTTAGTAAGTACTCCTACTATTATTGTCACTGTTGTTATTTCCTTATTTTCATGGTATGAGAAGAAAATACGTGTTCAAGATTCTTTAAGGGCATGTCTAAATATAGTAGCTATTTTTTTATTAGATATTTATCCATCCCTATTTTTAAAGACAGCAAACAGTTCTGTGTTGTGATATTCATTTGCATCCACACGTATACCAGTTTGTCCTGCTATCTTGTGTTTTACCCATTGTTTTTGCAGCCTCTGCAACCCCATGTCAGAGTGTGGGATTCAGTTAGTCTAGCCACACTGCAAATTATTGGACTTGGAACTTTCGAGCGTGGAGTAGGATGCCTTGATTTTTCAAAAGCAGTAAGTAATAAATTTTAAAGGAGTGATTAAGTATGCTACACAAAGAAGCAAAAAAAGAAGTTAAGCTCAGTTTTGTGTGTGTGTATGTGTTCAAAGAAAGTGATAACTTTCAATTGAAAAATGAGATGTTAGCTGTTGCTTAGCAATGGCCAGTATTTTAACCTAAGAACTAAAGAACTTTGGTTTAGATAGGATCCAGGATATTGCACTTAATTATACTTAATTTTGTTCTGTCCTGAGATAGAATTCCATTGTAGTAGCAGGAAATGGTTAGAAGAATACATACATAGCATAGTAAAAAAGAAACAATCAATAAAACATGCTTTTGTTCAGCTTAAATAATGGAGATCTGTTTTATTTAGAAAATTCACAGCTGTGAAACTTGGCCTGATCTTCACAAATATTGTCTTTTCTTAATGTCATGTTAGAGCAAAAGAAATAGTCAAACCTTTTATATTCATTAAAATCATGAATTATCTTGGTTCTGAATTGATGACAACATGAGTTTAAAATTCAGTGTCTAGCAATCTTACGTAAACCTGGAGGCTTTATTCGGAGGGGAAAATAAAACAAGATGTTACTCATTTAAACATTCTATTTATTCTTGAATTATATGTAATTATTATAGAGTATACAGGAGACCTATATTTTAGAATTTACAATTTTTAATTTAAAATGTAAATATTCCTCCAGATTTTATTGGGTGTCATTCATATTTTAGAATATATTTATGTATTCATGTTCTCTCTTCAGTTCCTAACTATCAGCAGCTATATTCTGGATTATGGGAGTTTTGTGGCACATGGAAGAGGATAGGACATTTTTAGATCAAAAAGATAAATTTGGGTGGCTATACAGCTTTGCTAGCTTAAAGGCACTGAATGTTAAGGGTCAAATGAGTCAGGAATTGGGAGAAAGGCATTTAGAAAAGGAGATAAAAGGACAGAAAGGAAATTCTTTTACTCCCCCCCCACCCCCACCCCCAATCTCAGTAGCAGGAACTGTTGTCATTTTGTTGATACTATTGTTACAATGTTAAGACTATTTCCAATTGCTTCATACTCTTAACTTTTCCTAATTTTAGGTAATCATTCCAAAATAGGCTAAAAGAAAGATAAAGAGAAGAGAGTAAGCTTTGCCCTTCCTTGGTACCTCTTCTCTTCACCACAGTATTTCCTTGTTCCAGAGACATCTAAAGCATATACTGCAAATGCTACTAGAGGAAAAAACCCCACAAATCTTTAATATTATCCATAGTTATTAAACTGGGAGGCTTAAACTATATGAATGAAAATGGTTTTGGAAAAACATATAGGAATTTTGTTATGTTTTATTTGTCTTGTGTAGTCATATTAATATAAATCAGGTATATCATAGGAAACTGAAATTGGCAGACTTTAGCCATTAAATTCAGCTTGTTCCATCAAACTATCAAAATTTAGTCAAGAGCTATGTCATGAAATTATGTACACTTCATGCCTACCTCAAGGGCATATACTTTATGTTTGATCTTAGCCAAAAGGCCAAAAAGTGATTGGGGTGGAGGACATATATGCTTTAAATGCAAGGAGCCAAGAAGGAAGCATAAGATGCAGAAGAGACTAGGGTATCCTCAAAATGAATTATTTGCTATCTCTGAATAATAGGAGTAGCTAGATGGCAAGTAGGAATCAACCTAGGGGAAAAAATTAAAAATAGAACATATTTTTTAAAAGAATCTTTATTATATTTCTAAGGAAAATACAGTCTTAGTAGTAGATTCATTATATTTCAAGAAGCCATGAGTTTAAAGGATTTTGGATTATCTGAATGTTGGCAGGTTTTGTTTTTTTGGGAGGTGGGAGCAGTTTTAATAATGTGGCATTTCTTCTTAGAAAATCATCCTTATCTAAAAATTTTAAAATGCCTTTGACTTTTTTAGGATTCAGGTGTTCATTTGTGTGTTATCGATGACTCCAATGAGCATATGCTTACTGTGTGGGATTGGCAGAAAAAATCAAAAGGTGCAGAAATAAAGGTAAATCAAAAAAATTTCTGAGTATCTTTTAGAGTACAGTATTTTGCAGATCCTTGGAAGTATATTGCACATATTTAAGTTGCAAAGTATACCAACTGGCCAGATTCATCAGATTTATTGATTTGTCATCATTTTTATGATATTAAGAATACAATTCTTCCAGTATTCTTAAGATTGTCATGCAGCTTCAGCCAATTTCAGTGTTATTTTAGACACTTTGCGCTACGAAAATGCCAAAGTAGGTGGGTGTCTAACACAAAATTAAGACTGAATACTCTACTTGGCTGCTGCTGCTTTAACAACATGTGTTAATTCATTCAATCTTTAAAGCTTTAAAAATCTAAAGGAAAAATTCAACCTTAGGAGTATGGCTGACATAACTGAAAAGCATATGTAATGAGAAGCTATTTGGTCTTAATTATGTTTGTGGGATTAGTATGTAAAATGCTACAGCATATTTTATAGTTGCTGTAGAATAGTATTGATCCCTTTGTGTGGATGAGGCTATGATTCGTAAGAGAAGAATGTAAGGTTAACATTGCAGCTGCATTCACATGGGTCAGAAATGGCCTCATTCTGACAGGCTTTCAGAGGGATTCAGAGTGACAGGATGACTAAAAAAAGCCTATGACATATTTGCTGTATTCTTAAATAACATCCCATTCCTCTTCATTTGCTCTCACTCATGCTTTCTCTCTCGCTCTCTTTTTCCCTTTCTCTCTCTCTCTCCCTCCCTCCCTCCTTCTTCCCCCCTACTCCTTCCTCCTCTTTCAGCAGTTTTGTATAAGCTTCAAGCTTCAATACCAAGTGTGTTGGTCAAAAGAGATAATTTCTTTTTGTGTAAGTTAATCTTTTGAAAGAAATAGAGTATATTTGATTGTTGTTGAAAGGAATATAAGATGTCAGGAAATTACACAGAAGTGAAATATGTGAATTTTGATCCTTTGTAGTAAAGGCTACCAGATGATGTCTTATGGTTTTCCTCCTACTGGCCATTCCTTGATCTCCCTTCCAGGACCTTAAGTTGTCATTCCTCAGGGTTATATCCCATGTCCTCCACTGATACCATATACCACTACCACGGCCTTAGTTACTATCTGCTGTGTCCCACATCAGTTAGCTCCAGCCCTGGTCTCTCTCACAGACTTACACCTACATTTTTTTTTTGCCCGCTTTATTTGAAGCTCTACAAGTCAAAATCAACATATCCAAATCTGTACTAATCATCTTTAGCCCTCAACCAGTTTCACCTCTCAGTGATTAATACCATATTCTACTTACTTACCCAGACTAGATACTTGGGCATCAATCATGTCCCTTGCTTCTCACACCCAGTCAGCTAGCAAAGTGACTTCACAACGACAAAAGCTAACTTAAATAGAATTTATTGATTCATGTTTAGAGAGAAAAAGAAAACCTCTCGTCAAGGTCATAAGGGAATTTTGCCTTAGGATTGACATAATTCCGGTGCTAGATCACTGATTTCTCTGTCTCTCCTCATAGCTTTTCCCTGTGTGTTGACCTTACTCTTTTCTACTGTAGATGAGCTCTATTCTTGGCTAAGTCATAAGGATTTGGGGAAATTGATACATAACTTGTTGATTTTTTTAAGTTTAAAGTTCAGTAAGGCAGCTTCAAAACCTTATTGGCAGAAATTAAAGAAGACCTAAGTAAATGGAGTAATATACAGTAAAAATAGAAGACAGTATTATAAAGATGTCACTTTTCTGCATATTGATCTGTGTGTCCAAAATAGTCAAAATCCGGCATGATTTTTACAGAAGTTGACAAGCTCAGTATTTTTGGAAATATGAATGGATAAAAACAGACAAACATATGAAGGATGTAAAGTAATTGAAACTCTTGTACACTGCTGCTGGGCATATAAATTGTTACAGCCATTTTGGAAAACTGGATTTGTGTATGTACATTCTGTATGCATATGCATACTCTCTGACCCATCCTGTTCCACTCCTACATATCAGCCCAACAGAAGTAAATATATGTGTTGACCAAAAGGCAAGTAATCAATTGTAAAAGTAAATTACTCAGATACCCATCAATATTAGAATAAATAAATCAATTATGTGGTCTTTCCATAAAAAGGAATAGTATACAACAGTTAGAATGAACAAATTACAATACATGCACCAGCATGAAATGGATCTCATAAATGTAATGTTGATAAAATAAGCCAGAGACAAGTTCATTCTGTGTGATCCCATTTAAATAAAACATACAATGCTAATCTATGGTGCTACAAATTAGTATCATGGTTACTTAAGAAGGGGAAGAGCATAGTGATTAGAAAAGGGAATCTGAGATGTTTCTGGGATGTTAGTAATGTTCTAGTTTTTGCTCTACATGCTGTACAGGGGCATGTTCAATTTTTGAAAATTTATCAAGCTACATAGGATTGTGAACATTTCTGTTTATATAATACACATAAATAAAAAGTTAAAATATCCTATAAGGCTACATTCATACCCAAAGTGATTTCATAAATCAGTTTATGTATTGAATATCTTATTACTAGCACCACAGGTCTGTATACTTGGAATATTTGTAGTTAATTTTATAACCTTTGATTTATAACCTTTGATTAATCAGTTTGGCATAAGATTTAGCTGTCAAGTAGTTTCGATTTTGTCTAAAGTGAAAACTAAGTACTGTTCAATTTTTAAAAGGCAACATCATTTTGGAAAAGAAATAACTAATTTTTGCTTCGTTATTAACACATTATCTTTAAAATTTACTTTGACCTGCTAGGTATATATAGTTCCATACCAAACATTGTGGAGAATTCTATAACAAGAAGGTACTGTCCTTTTCCTTCTTTTTGTAACCTGATAAGGGGGAAAAGCCTTCAAATTAGACCATTTAAGTTTTATTTATGTGCCTATACAAGGCCATAGAACCCATATGTTAGTATTTGAAATGTAAAATTTGCAGAAATATTGGAGCCATAGGAAAATTTTTAAAATTAGGTCAATTCTTTCAAGTGTCACTTTATTATTAGAATATAAAATGGATTATCTTTAACTAACTTTGTACATAAGATTACCATGTTTACCATGTTGGTTTGCAATAAGGAATGCTTCCATATAAAGTTATTTGCTAAGTTAAAAATGGAGATTAATAATTACCCTGCAGGTGAATACAAGCTAACAATAAACGGCTTTACAAGCACATGGATTTCACCTCACTGTTAAGTTCGAGTAGGTGCTTTTACCATAAACATCAATTTAGTAAGAATTCAGTTATGACTTGCTGAACATACTGAAATATACTGTTTTAAAAACATCCTCAGTTCAGTAATTTCAATGAAAAAAACTTTACTTCTAATTCCCTTATGACTCTTATGCCTGTTTTCTCCCTTTTTCATTCCCGTTCCTTTAAATTTAACTCCGGTCTTTTCTAGGTTGGTTTTTTGTTTTAGGAAATAGCATAAAAGCTTTTAGTTTTTTGTTTTTCATTTTTATATGAATCAGTAGTGACCATTCTATATCTACTTTTTAAGCATTTTACCTGAAGATGAATCTCTAAATCAGTAATATTTTTTAAGTGAATGGTCAGTAATAACAGTACAAAGAAAGATAAGACTGACAAATGTACAGTGCTTTTTGCATTTGATAGTTTTAGTGTACTTTTTGCTGAATGTATAAGAAACTAAAATAATCTAAAACTGTAGTTCATATAAATGTCTTTTTAGTGTAAAGTTATATAAATAGCATAAAAGATGATATAGTATAAGGACATTAAATTTAAATCATTATTATAAAAACTTATTGTTAAAACTTTTCAGGAAAATAGATCTTGGAAGAAGAGGCATTTCCTAAAAGATTTTATCAGTAGTTGTAATTGGTACTTGATGGAGATAAGGATATACGTTCATCTAAAGCTTTATTTCTCTTTCCACAGACAACAAATGAAGTTGTTTTGGCTGTGGAGTTCCATCCAACAGATGCAAATATCATAATAACATGTGGTAAATCTCATATTTTTTTCTGGACCTGGAGTGGTAATTCACTAACAAGGAAACAGGGAATTTTTGGGGTAAGGATCAGAATGTTACAAGTTCACTATAAAATTTTAATTGTTGAGTAAATGTAAAGTCATTATGCTAAAGGGAAAACTGAAAATTTTCATTGTTTCTTTGTAGAAATATGAAAAACCGAAATTTGTGCAGTGTTTAGCATTTATGGGGAATGGAGATGTTCTTACTGGAGACTCAGGTGGAGTCATACTTATATGGAGTAAAACTACTGTAGAACCGACACCTGGGAAAGGGCCTAAAGGTACAGTATTCCCAGATTAAAGTCATTCCTTTTTAATCTGCACATACTGCTAGTGCAATCTTATATCTTACCCAGACCAGGAGAGAGAGCTGCAGTGAAACATGGAGAGCCACTAATACATACCTTATGTTTTTAAGGTTTTTCATGATGATCTTTTTAAAATTATTTATCCAGTTAAGCATATATAACCTTTATTTGGTCTACTGAACTTTTCCTTCTAGGAGATTAATATAAAATAATTAGTGATGATATAGCTATATGATGATTTAAATAGTATAAAGATTAAGAGAGAAACCATCCTGATCTTCTGAGTTTTGTGAAGATTTCACAGAAAAAATGGTCTTTAAGCCATAATTAATGTGTAAGACTACAAGAAATATGGAACCTTGATCCCAGTTTATAGAAACAGTATAAGCAAAGGCAGAAAGATGTGAATGTGAGGCATTCGTGGTAGTATAAATTTGTCATGTAAAAGTAATAACAAACAGGAGGTAACCAACTTGAAGGATATACAATTTTAAAAAATAGTAGTGTTTTGTAATTTCTCTGAACAGTTTAATATATTCTAAGCCATTGAAAATTCATGTAGGGGTTAAAGGTATAGATTTTCTGAGTTATCCACAAGAATCTTTAAAAGTGGTTGCACTACCAAGGAAGAGAAAATTGCTGGGAGGTCAGGGATCCTTTATCCCACAGTTAGATGACAGAAAAGAGCCTGCAAGGATTACAGAAGTGAGATACTTAAAAAAAAAAAAAAGTTAACAAGATGGGGTTCTGGGGAGATAGAAACATCTCCTCCCCTCGGTCTGGGGAGTCTGCATCAGACCATAGAAACCACGTGTGACTCCCTGAGTAAGGGAATCCTGTCGCACCCCCCTCAGAAGGAAAGGCCCAGTTTACAAGTCTATCGTCCCTGATGGGCTTTCCCAGGACTAACACAATGTCTGGCATTTGGTACTAGCTGTTGAAAATTATTTGTTAAACATTTCTTAAGGAAATGACTTTAATCTTACTTTTGGGTATCAGTGTAGAAGGGTTGAGTGGTACTGATTCACTCTTTTCACTGAAATGCGGAACTTGATATTAGCATTGCAGATGTCTTATTGTGAAGATTGTCATGCTATATTTTTTAGGAGATACAGTACATTAGTGTTTTCTGTATCCATTCACCTAAATTTCTAAGTTTTGCAGTTGAATTGAATTTGATGTATTTAGAAGTTAACAAAATAATCCTTAAATTGTAATACCAATGACCTTTATCTCAGTCATTGGCCATGCATTCTTAGCCTCTTTCATTCAGTTTAGGTTCAAAATTCACATATGAAAAGGATGGCAGTGGGATGAGGATTCTTAAGAAAAAAGAAAGAGCAACTGTATTTGTCAGCTACCTTTCCCACGTACCTCTCTTTTTTTTTCTTCCTGAGCACATTTGTTTAGTATCAGAAATAGCCAGGAATAGCACTGTATATCAAAACTGTGACTTAAAATATTCACATGTTATCCTCTGACAGAGTTTGGGTATAAATATGCCCTTCATTAGCTTAATGTGTGTTGAGGTGGGAGAGGCAGGGAAAGGTTCAGAGGTTGTTTTTATTTTGATTTTTGTCTGAAAAACTTCTGCAAAGAAAAATCTGCATATGTACACACAAGAAACAGGAAATCTAATCTTGTAAACTGGGCACATGAAATAGTCCAATTTGTGTTCTGCTGCGTGACTGACCCTATTGGCAAATTTGCAGAGAATTTTGTTTTTTCCTTTATATTTGGGGTTTCCAGTTCTGTAGATATGGCTGGGAAGGATTTGGTGAGTTCAGTGAAATGTGTATGCCCAGACTGGAACAGATGCCCAGACTGTTTCCATTTTTAAATTCTTGCCAAAAATTTCAATAGATTGATCCAGTTTGCATATTCCCTAATACGACATTTCTAATATGGTGGTCTTAACTAAAATTTGAGTTTACTGTGGTATCATGTCTGATAGAGGGACATTTTGGAATGGCAGAAGCATAATATCATAGCTAATCCTTTTACTCTGGTAAGTAGAAGACAACAAACCATAACTGTATATTTTATGCCACATAAGGTCTTCTGTATATTTTCTTCTCACTTCCATACCTTAAATGTAAATTAACAGAAACCTTCAAAGTAATTAGTATTTTCTCTTTTCTCCAGTTTCATTGAATTGTAATTGACATATAACACTGTTTAAGGTGTACAATGTAATGATTTGATATACATTGCAAAATGATTACAAGTCAACCTCCATTACTTGACATAGATACATTTTTTTTCTTGTGATGAGAACTTTTAAGAGTTCTCTCTTAGCAGCTTTCAAATATGCAGTACAGTATTAACTATAGTCACCATGCTGTACATTACATCCCCAGAACTTACTCATCTTATAACTCGAAGTTTGTACCTTTTGACCACCTTCACCCCTTTCCCCTACTTCCACCTCTGGCAACCACCAGTCTATTTCTATGAGTTCATTTTTTTTAGATGAACATATGAGATTATACAGTATTTGTCTTTGTCTGGCTTATTTCACTTAGCATAATGTCCTCAAGAACCGTCCATGTTGTTGCAAATGGCAGAATTTCCTTTTTAATTAATATACACATACACACTACATTTTCTTCACTCATTTCTCTGTTATTGGACACAGGTTGTTTCAGATTTTTCTTTCTTATGGGATACAAGGTATTTGTTATTTCCTACATATATGAAGTAGTTCAAAATTTTTCTTATATGAAATAATTCATAATTTTTTAAGTGGGAAGGGGAAGTTGATTGTATCCACAACACCATTAAAATGTTGATCATTCTTAAATCAGTTCCTTTAAGGACTTAAGAAACACCATCATTTTGCCTGCTCTCCAGATAATCAACATGGGCCCATTTGCCCAGTTGCTAAGAATACAACATAAATTTGAAAGTCTCCCTGACATTTGATTCTATAGTTAAATGGGCACAGAAACCCCATCAAAGTGATCTTTATTTGGCAGTCAGTGTAAACTTGCTTTTTATGGAAACTTCATTTCTGTTAGAGATGAGAAGAAAGAGAGGATTTGTACTTATGCTTGGATAGATGTGGCCATGATTAACCCTAGAGGTATAGTAGATATTTTAGTTCAAGGGTAATTATTTTTCATGGCAGGTATTTCAAATACTTGGCTTAAATTGGAATGTCAGAAATACAGGCCCATGAGAAAGAAATCTTTGACTATAATTTTTTTTATAGGTAAATACTATCTGAAGCTTTGTTAATTTGTATAAATTTGAAGCACAGAAATTTTTTAGCTAAATTAATAATAGGTCCTCCTTAGGAAATAACTTTCCTGGCTGAAGGGTAAAGTGAGAATCTCACTTTACAGTATTTTTATTCTTCATGAAGCATTTGTTCTTCAGTTGTATTTTCTATTTTCTAACATTCCAGCATTCTAGAAAGATCTTAAGTGTTTAAAAAGGTTTTTGGCATGTTTAAAAGTATGGAAACTGAATTAAAAATATAAAAACTGTATTTCATTTTCCCACATTCTGATGGGGATCTATGAACCTCCATACCTCTGCTTGTTGTAATTTTGTACATGGTACCATGGTATTTTCAGACTACTCTTCTTAATTTGACCATGCATGAGAAAATAAGCCCTTTGCTTTTTTTTTTTTAAATGCTCAAATAAAGTCAAGAATATTCTCAGAAAATTTATATCTCTCAGATGTCCTTTCTCTCTTGGTTACACCAGAGCCTTGATAGATAATTCGCTAGCTACCCTACTGAACACAGTCGTATTGCTCAATGTTTAAAGTATTTTTAAGTGATGAATATTGATGTGAGCTGAAGCAGTTGACCTTAATAGCAAGTTAGTTGGAGTTCTGATTTCAGCTCTGCTGAACTGGGCAAGCTCTACTCCAAATCAGGCAAGCCTTTTCCTTCCACCCTGCCAGATATACCTATCTACTAAGTATTTGTATACTAGCACCCTCACACTGAGTAATATTTATAGTCAGCTATAGCAATTTTTAAGGATACCAAAACTCTACAAATTTTAGTTAATTTTAAAAATATAATGGCAGCTCAAATAGATAATGAAAAATGAACAATCTAATCTCACTAACAGCTTTATTGAAATATAATTTATATACCATAAAATTCACCCTTTTAGAATGTACATTTTAGTGGTTTTTAATATAGTGACAGTGTTGTACAGTCATCACTACTACTTAACTTCAGAACATTTCATCACCCCAAAAGAAATGCTGTACCCATTAGCAGTCAACACCTGACAGCCATTTGTCTACTTTTGGTCTCTATGGATTTACCTATTTTAAACATTTCATATAAGTGGAATCATATAATATGTGGTCCTTTGTAACTGGCTTCTTCCACTTGAACCTTAATGTTTTCAAAGTTCATCTATGTTGTAGTATGTACCAGTACTTCGCTCCTGTTTATGGCTGAATTCAATGGTATGGACATACTACATTTTGTTCATCCATTCATCAGTTGATGAACAATTTTAGAAAATGAATATTTTCCCAAGTTTATTGAGGTATAATTGACATATAACATTGTATAAGTTTAAGGTATGCAACATAATAATTTGATACAGGTATATATTGCCAAATGATGACCACAAGTTTAGTTAACATCCATCACCTCACATAGTTAAAATTTTTTCTTGTGATGAGAACTTGTAAGATCTGCTATCTTAGCAACTTTCAGATATACAATGCAATATCGTTTACTGTAATCACCATACTGTGCCTTTAATCTCCAGAACTTGTTTTTACCTTGTAACTGCAAGTATGTACCTTTTGACCACTTTTACCCATTTCTCCCACTGAATAATTTTGAACTTGTAATTTTTTATATTTTTCCAAAGGATCTAAGGTCTATTTATTGACTTTGGCCATATTTAAACAAGATTCTCCCTGGTAACTAATTCTGTAAGATAGTCATCTTCCAAAAAGCTTTACTCACACTACCAGCCTCATTAGCCAGATAAAGAGCTCTGAGTACAGCATAACGAATACCAAAGATAAAAGATTTGAGTACTAAAATCTTATCCTCACCTTTAAGAAAAAGGGTCTGGAACATACACATGCGTACGTGTGTGTTTTAATCTCCACATGGACTTTACTTAAAATATTTTTAATGTACCTGCCTTGTCCCTCCCTGGTTACTTGTAAAGTGCTGTAAACATATAAGAAAGCTGGGCTGTCATTCAACTATCACAGTGATATATAGCTATACCAGTTTTTAAAATACCAAAATACTTCTCTATTTTGTCAAAAGCCATTGCTCCAGGCCTCCAGCGCTCATTTCTGCCCCAGTACCTTCCCTGGTCCCCTGTATCTCAGCAAATAAAAGGGATAGTCCATGGCAGAATAGGTCAACAGTGGTTGCTAAATGTTAAATATCACAGCTGACCT